AACTAAAGTTATTTAACTTTATCGTTTTTATACCAAAAAAAGCGGTATTAATAGAAAACTGTATAATCTAAAGAGCTTCAAAACAACTGAATGACATGTAGCAAGGAGCTTTGATCTGCTATGTTTAATCTTTGTTCTTTAATTATATACCAAGCAAAGAAAGGAAGACTTCATTATATTCTATCTTTTTTGAACATTCTTTAGATAAAATAAAAAGTCTATCTTTTAAATCTCCAATGTGCTTGTATTTAACAGAGTATTTCGAAACCAAATTTATTGTTGTTATGTAAAAAAACTTATAGAAAACAGAGAACTATCCTGGAGACGAAGCGGTTTTAAATTAAACGTTTTATTGTCTGTAGGTTTCGTGGAGTTTGTCAAACGTTTAAATAATGAGACGTTGAAAAATAAAACAGTTGTTTTATTTTGCTTGTCGTGCTTACTCAGTAACTATGGACTATATGCTACTATTGCATGAACACAGTACAAAACTGGAAATACGAACATCGTGCAGTGAAAGGACAGGAACGTCATGTCTTCACGAATCTTTTGATTTCTTATGTTCCACAATGTCGCCCTGTACACGAAAATACCTGAATAATCCTTCCAATAATGAATATATATATATATATAAACTGGATTATTGGTCCTGGAAAGTTAACTGTACACCAGAGCCATGGGTGAGTTAGAAAAATAACATGTTGACATATCTAAATAAACATACACAAAAGACTTGAACAATGTATTTTCTGATAATTTGTCATTAGACATGAGTATTAGATCATTATATTTTTAACACTACGTTTTTTTATCCAGCCCCATAGGGTTTTCATCAAGAGAAGAAGATGAGTATATAATAGTATTCAACCACACTATGTCCGCCATAGCCATTGCTGACGACGAGTTTCGCTCAATCCAGAGCTCATCAGGCTAGCTGGGATACGACAAACACAATAGTGCAATTGTTAATGGGGTCCTCATCCACCGGCTTTTTAAACACCCTTTTCTAAACTATTTGTGCTTCAAACTGTTTGTGAGTTCATGACCTTGTTGGTTATAGGGCCCCTATTAACATATGTGCTATATACATTAACACAAAATATTAAACAAAAATAGCATATATTTTTAAGTAATCCCACTAGCTGCTACTGGGGTCGTCAAAGAATGTTACATTGAATTGTCAAAATCACTAAGTGTGTTTCGTTGAGCCAGTGAACATTTATTTTGTTTTTATTTGTATTTCTTACATTCGTAATTAGAATATATGTGATCATAATTAAGATTAGATAAATTACAATGAAAACAAAATATTTCCTTTACCACCGGTAAAGGAAAGCATATTTCCCGAAACCTCTCAAAATAACATAAGTTTTACTTATTATTGAACCTTACCTGTTTTCGAACTTCATACTCCCATCGTAGTCACTAGAGTTCTAGGACAAAGTATACAGTATAGCCCTATATTTTGAGTACAAATCGGAAATAAGCTTGAACCTTTCATGAAATCAATGATACAGGCCTTACAAAATCACTATCATGAACACGCTTTAAAAAGATAGTACAAAAAATGCACATTAAAAGTGTTTTAACCGCTGTAACATGCATATATACTGAACGTTGCGTCATTCCTATATGTGTTGGTAAAAGAGTAGCCCAAGAGTTGGCGGTGGGTGGTGATGACTAGCTGCCTTCCTTCTAGTCCTACACTGCTAAATTAGGGACGGCTAGCGCAGATAGCCCTCGTGTAGCTTTGCACGAAATCCATAACAAAGAAACAAAGAAAAAAGAAAATTTCTATGTGCAACTATTTTTTAAGTTTTCACTTTGAAAGTTCACTAAAATATTTTAACATCGTAAAATAAATTACAATTCATTCACGTAACAAACAAACCTCATCTCCTCGAAAAAAAGTTAAGCATGCTTTACAAATATGTGGAAAGTAGAAAACTAAGTACTCCAAAATGAAGCTATGAAAAAAAGCATCTTTCCAAATGATAATTTCTTTATGACTGACATACTGATATATATATTTTATTTAACTTATTTATCGTGTTTTACTGTCTCATTAGGAGCAACTACCCTCCGACGTCTCTCTGTAGACTGTGCAAAGTGATTTGGGTTTGAATGGTTTTCAGCTGAATATCCAAATTCGCTAGTAATTCCAGGTTTTGGTTTAACCGTCTGGGTTTTGCGTTTCTAGACATCCCGATCCCCAGAGAACATGTTTTTCGCTAACTTGTGGTTGTACTTAAATTATATGTACATTAAAAACAAAGAAAATATTATATTTAAATATATATTACATATCAAACTTTCATTTTAATTAAAATATAACAATTTTTGTTTTTAGTAAATACGAAACCTAACAGAAAATCTCCAAAAATAGCTAACACAAATGGACCCTTATTAACAATATTACTCGGCTTATTTTGTGGAAATAATATTAACGTGTTACTTACATGTCATCAAAAATTAACCATACTAATCTTGCATTAATATTAACATTTTAATAATGTAACTTGCACTCAAGTGAATATATCGCTCAGAATACAGAAGGTTGAGTATGTTATTTAAAATAATTTTGAATATGTAAATCAGCTAGTCACGTTACAGCCACGGCGGGAGGAACGTATCAGAACTACAAATTCTATGACGAGGAACCCACTTTGATACTAATAATGCTTGGAGACGGCTTGAATCAGTAATGAAGAAAAACTTTAATATAAGTTTAACATAACAGCAAATGTATACAACGTTTCGACAAGGTTTTGTCCTCATCAGGTACCTTGTCGACACGTTGTACATTTGCTGTTATGTTAAACTTA